CTATTATCAACTCTCGCCGCACCATCAGTAGTGCTCACATTGCTAGAGGCACTAACACGAATCTCTCTAATCCTTTGCTGCCACATCACCTCATCAATGATGGATGCCCTCTGAGCCACCTCAGTCTCTTGGTGCTCCATCTTGCTAACTCTCTCGGCCTCAGTATCATTAAAAGCCTGATTGGATAGAGTGCGGTATTTCATCCCCGAATAGAGAATTGAACACTATATTATCAACCAGTGTCGTGGGGGATGACTCAGGCTCAGTCTCTGGTGGTACTAGGAGGGTGTCAAGATCAGCCCGGAGACCATCTAACTCCATCTTGAAAGCAAAGACATCTGTGGTGGGGGCTGGTCGCTCTAAGACAGGAAACTCAAATGCATCAGGGCACTGGTGAACGGCCTTAACCTTTCGGTCCATTATCTGCTCTATCCGCTGCTCAACCCTAGTCGCGGAATCCTCAATCGCATGCTACATCCACGACCTCACAAGCTAAAGTAGTGTGGCCATCTAGGCCTCCAGCTTCTAAACACGGGCTAGAGGCACTATTGCATACCCGTAGGAGGTGGTGGTTTGGGAGGCCCTAGGGGCTTGACTGGCGGCCGGAGAATGGGAACTCGGGGAATCCTCAGTAATGGCTGGAGGGGAAGGCTCATCACCCTGCACCTGCTCCACATCTGCAACTAAGTCCGCTCCCAGTGGTGGAACCTCAACCTGCGGCTCTCTACGCGGTGCAGCCACATTGGCCTCATCTCGAATCAGGCCAAAATACAGGGTCTTGGTCACCTGAATCAGCTTTTCTCAATGCCTAACCGGTACTCCCGCATCCCTGCACAGTAGAAAAAATGAGGCATAGGAACGGATAGGTAGTGGTGGCCTTGAAGGCCCTCTCGTGTATCTCTGCAATAACCATGCGGGCAAAGTCCATCTCCATCCCAGCAACCAGAGCTGCAACCATGACTGCGTGGTCCTATGTAAGCACATTGTCTGCCTGCATAGGAGACACCTGGTTCCGCACCAATAACTAGAAGAATTTGTCCACAAATGATAGGGTGGCCTTCTTTATACCCAAGCTTGGGGTGCTGACCTACTCGGCGTGCTCTTCGTCTGTAGAAAGATGACGGGCTAACCAACGCAATAAAGTATCCCTCTAATCTGCATTTGGAATGCTCCGCTCCTAACGATGTCCCATCGATAATCGAACTTGGACATGTTGATTAGCAGAGTGTGGCCTGGACCGTAGAAGAATCTCCGGATAGTAGTCTCAAATATATCAACAGAAAACCCCCGCACTAGTGTAGATGTGAGAGGAGGCTGGGACCCTGGGTTACGGGCCATCCACTTGTAGCTGCGTATTTTGAAAAGCTCATGGATGGCAAGCAAGGTGTGCAAGCTGCCTATGAGAACCCGATGCTCATCACAGACTAATCGAGCCATCCTATCCTTCTCAGTCATCATCCGGGCATCTTTGTATATCTGCCACTGACAACTTACACACCACCGGTTGGACTTCTCAGCAACTGGAGCATGATCGGTGTTTGGTGGCACTAGAATGTCCCCCGCACTAGTAGCCTTATTAGACGAGGCAGTCCTGCTTTGTGAACTAGAGCTAATGCGGAGCCAAAACTTGAGTCGGAAAAAACGTTGTTAGAGCCAGCCAGTGAACCAATCGGTGTATCCTCCTCATCAGATTGGGAGGTAGTGACCACGTCGGGAATCACCTACCGGGTTTGATTCCGGGTAGTGCGAGGTGTCGTGGGGGATGTCCTAGTAGTAGGTGGGACATAGGCGAGATCCTTCTCCATATCAGTATCTTCATCAATAAGGCGAAATATTGGTGCCACTGATTTTGACTTGCCCTTTGCAACGTAGGTCGTAGCCTTCTTGGGTGCCATGGTACATGTGGAAACTTAGTTAGTACCAAAATAAGACAATAACACACTCAAAAAACATTTAGACTAAAGAACGAACTAAATCAAAAACTAAAAAAAATTGTACATTAGTGTCAGTGGTCACCTACGGTCCATAGGTCAGAGAAGGTCTCTGATAGGAACCACAGATGTGCAGAACGGTTTGTAGGTTGACCTACGGACCGTAGTCCACCTCCGTGGTTCCTAACTTAGAAGATTTTTCATGTGCAACAGACCCACAGACCTGATCTATGGTCCGTGGATGGGATCTCGTGGGTCAGGTCTGTGCCAGGTATCAGACATACCTCATTTTAAAACCATTTTTGCAATAATTCAAACAATCAACCTAAGTCTAATCATGCATTTCAACATAATTGATGATAGTGTGTCATCCCTAGGGTTCCGGTTACTCATTATTTAACAGTTTTAGCATACAAAACTAGGAACCCTAAGTCGAAACTTCTATTTACACTATTTACCTTGAGTGATTTGATTACAAAGAAAGTACAATCACATTCTATCGTCCCAAGGGTGTTTCTAACTATAGTTTATCATGCAATTTCATACCAAATCAACCTAAGGTCAAGACCCACTTCATGACTTCATGTATTGAACAATGAATATCGAAATTCAGAGTTAAGGTGAAGTCGTTTACCTTACAGGTATTGGAGGTGGGTGATTTTGTAATTCAAAAGACTCCTTAGAACTTGTGACACCGATCCCGAACCTTGAATTGTTTTGTGAAGGGAGAATGGGAGTTATTTGGGATAGAGGAAGAGGATTATGGAGAGGGGAAAATGATTATGGAAAATGGGAGTGATATGGGGAGTTAATATGGAAGTTTTGCAATTTTGAGGGGTTAGAAACGGTTGCAACGGAATATGGGATGTGGGGGATGAATTTAAAATAATGAAGGTTTTTTATTAGAGGTGTCCGGGTTGGGTCTCCAGTAAACCTAAGTTGGACCCACGAGACCCAATCTACGGCCATGGGTCGATTTACAAACCATGGGTGGGGTCCGTAGGTCACTCAACCCTTAGAAATATTTGAGGACTTACCTGGGGATCTTCGTACACCATTCACGGTCCGTGGATTGAACTACGGACCGTCGATGGGATCTGTAGACCTCTACAACAGACATTTTTTTACAGATTTGGCTTTTCATCCTTGCACATGTAGCAACCATTAGGACTTTATTTTTACATTTTTTAGACACGGACCCTACTCTATATCTAGCCAACACTAAAACAAAAATAAAATACCAATCTAAAGAATTACAAAATATCAAATAAACAAAGAAAACTCCTAAATCGAAAAGAAAAATCTAAAGTTGGCTAGATTGTACATCTTGGGTTACCTCCCAAGCAGCGCTTGATTTAACGTCGCGGCATGACACAAGCCTCTTGATTACTCAGATAGTAGGCCTCAACCACCTCTTGCACATTCTCCTCTTAGCCCATGTAGACCTTGATCCTTTGTTCATTCACCTTGAACCTTGTTCCCTCCTTGTTCTCGAGCTCGACCGCTCCATGTGGGAACGCTTGAGTGACTATGAATGGCCCGGTCCACTTAGACTTGAGCTTGCCAGGAAACAAACACAACCTAGAGTTGAATAGAAGCACCAGATCAGCCACAAAAAATTCACATTTTTCAATATTTTGATCATAATACTTCTTCCTCTTCTCCTTGTACAAGGCTGAACTTTCATAAGATTTTAGGCGAAACTCATCAAGCTCATTCATGTCATTTACTCTCTGATTCGATGTGGCGCCCCAATCCAAATTCAACTTCTTTAGTGCCCACATAGCCTTATGCTTTAGCTCTACCGGCAAATGTCAAGACTTCCCATATACAAGTTGGTAGAGGGACATACCTATGGGAGTCTTGATTGCGGTGCGATAGGCCCATAGAGCATCATCAAGCCTCCTAGACCAGTTGGTTCTATTAGCATTCACAGTCTTAGCAAGTATTTTCTTGATCTCTCTGTTGGATACTTCAACTTGCCCACTAGACTGCGGATGGTAATGAGTGGTAACATTGTGGCGGACGCCATATTGCTCAAGCAGCGCCATGAACAACTTATTACAGAAGTGGGAATCTCCATCGCTGATAATCACCCTAGGTGTACCAAATCTGGAGAAGATATTCTCTTTTAGGAATGCAGTTACAGTTTTACCTTCATTATTGGAAAGCGCAATTGCTTCCACCCACTTTGACACATAATCAACCGCAACAAGAATGTACTTCATTCCATGTGAGCTCACAAATGAACCCATGAAATCAATGCCCCATACATCAAACAACTCAATCAGCAATATCAGATTCATAGGAAGCTCTTGCCTCTTTGAAATTTCTCTTTCTCTTTGGCAACGATCACAAGACTTCGTGAAATCATAAGCATCTTAGTGGATGTTAGGCCAATAATACCCAGACTGCAAATTTTTTATGCGCAGTCCGAATACCACTATGATGGCCACCAACAGGCGAAGAGTGACACGCCTCTAGTATACTCATCATCTCAACCTCGGGCACACATCGACGAATAATCCCATTAGCAAAAATACGGAACAAATAAGGCTCATCCCAAAAGAACTTCTTCACATCATGCATAAACATTTTCCTCTGGTGAAAAGACAAATACATTAGAACCATATCACTTCCCAAGTAGTTAGCAAAGTCTGAGAACAAAGGAATCAAATCATGAGAAGCTGCCAATACCTGTTCATCTGGAAAAGCATCATTAATTTCAGCCACATCTCCTAGCTTGAGCATAGCTTCTTCCTCTAATATGGACAAGTGATTGGCAACTTGATTTTCCGTCCCCTTTCTATCTTTCACCTCAAAATCAAACTCTTGTAGCAACAACACCTATCTAATCAACCTAGGTTTTGCATCATTTTTAGCCAACAGATACGTCAATGCAAAATGGTCAGTATGCACTATGAGCTTAGTACCAAGCAAGTAGGATCAAAATTTCTTGAATACGAAAACCACAGCAAGGAGTTCATGTTCAGTCACTATAGAGTTTTTTTGAGCCACATTTAGAGCTTTGATGGCATAGTAAATAGGATGAAGAATCTTCTCTCGCCTCTATCCCAAAACCACACCAAGCGCCACTCCACTAGCATCACACATTACCTCAAATGGTTTCCCCCAATCTGGTGAAATAATGATAGGTGCGGAAACTAGCTTTTCCTTCAACTCTCCAAATGCCCTCAGACAAGCATCATCAAAATCAAACTTACACTCCTTTTCGAGCAATTTGCACAATGGGTGTGCAATTTTGGAGAAATCCTTGATAAACCTCCTATAAAAGCTTGCATGCCCAAAAAAACATCTAACACCTTTAACAGAGATAGGAGGTGGAAGCTTTTCTATTATCTCGACATTCGCTCTATCAACCTCAATACCCTTCTTAGAAATACGATGACCCAGAATGATCCCTTCTTTCACCATGAAGTGGGACTTTTCCCAATTTAGCACGAGATTGCACTCTTCGCACCGTTTCAGTACCTCTGCCAAATGATCCAAGCAACCATCAAATGGGTCACCTACCACAGATAAATCATCCATAAATACCTCAATAGTTTCCTCCACCGTATCAGAAAATATCGATATCATGCAACGCAGGAAAGTCGCTGGAGCATTACACAACCCAAATAGCATCTGTTTGAATGCGAAAGTCCCATAAAGGAAAGTGAATGTGGTCTTCCCTTGGTCTTCTGGAGCTATGAAGATCTGATTTTAGCCCGAATAACCATCAAGAAAGCAATACCAACCCATACCAGCAAGGCGGTCCAAAATCTAATCCATGAACAGCATAGGAAAGTGGTCCTTTTCTGTCCGAGCATTCAATTTCTGGTAGTCCATGCATACTCTCCATCGTGTCACTGGCCGCATCTGAACAAGCTCGTTTGTCATATTAGGTACCACAGTAATCCCACTTTTGCTGGGCACACACTGAATAGGACAAACCCAACTACTGTCTGCAATGGGATAAATAAATTCAGCATCCAACCACTTGATGGTTTCCTTTTTCACTATCTCTTGCGTAGGAGGATTTAGTCTCCTTTGGTTATCAATACTGGGCTTGTGATCTGGCATGAGTTGGATTTTATGAGAACAAATGCCAGGAGGAATCACAATAATGTCCACAATAGTCCACCCAATAGCCCGATTGAACCTCTTCAACATAGAAACCAAAGCCTCAACTTGTTCCGTATTCAAATCAGCTGCAATGATGACCGGTAAAGTACCATCTCTCCCCAAGAATACATATTTCAAATGTGATGGTAGAGCCTTAAGCTCCAATTATGGGGCCTCTTCAACACACAGTTTTGTGGGTGGAGAGTCACGATTCTGCATATCAAACTCTAATTTCTTCGGTTTGGAACGAAATTCGAACCTATCAAGTGCAACGACCAATACATCATAGTTTTCAATACCATCACCCTCAAAAATCATCATTACCGATGCAAGTGCATCAACCCCCAACCGCTCTTTAATAAAGACATCCAAATCTCGCTCCACAATATGAGTCACCACTGATACTGATTTGATATTGCTTTCCTTCTTCATGGACCTACAGATATTAAAAGTTACCTCTTCACTATTCAATCGAAACTTCATCTGCCTTTCTCCATATCGACCAATGTGCGCCCAATAGCAAGAAATGGTCTCCCAAGGATGATGGGAACCTCAAAATCAACCTCACAATCAAGTATCACAAAATCCTCCGAAAAGATAAAAGACTCAAGTTTCACTAGTACAACTTGGAGCACACCAATGAGCCTCTTCACAGTTCTATCGGCCATGAGTAATCGCATCGCAAGTGGTTTTGTAGCCCCTAAACCCAACTTCTTGTAAACAGACAATGGCATCAGATTAAAGCTAGCACCCAAATCACACTACGCCTTACCAAAATGCAACAACCCGATGGTACATGGAATAGTGAAGGCACCAGGATCCTCTTTCTTCTGCACAAGTGACCTTGTAGCAATAGCACTACAATGTTTCTTCCTATCATCATCTTCAAAACTCACGGCCCTCTTCTTAGTCACCAAATCTTTCATAAACTTTGCATACCCAGACATTTTCTCCAAAGCTTCTATCAACGAAACATTGATGGAAAGTTGTTTCAACATAGTAATAAACTTGTGGTATTTCCCTTCTTCATTCTTCTTTACCAACCTCTGTGGGAATCGAGGTGGAGGTCTAGGCATGGGGACAACTTTTTGGGTTATCTTCGCTTCCTTCTCTGTAGCATCCTTGGACTCTCCAGTAACCTCAATTTCATCATCATCTTTCTCAACCACAATTTCAACCTCAGACGGCATAGGTAAATCAATGGTCTGCTTACCCCTCGAGAAGTGACTTCCATATAATGCCCATCATTCTTCGGATTCTGGATGGTGTTTCTAGGAAGTGTGCCAGGCTGACATAGGTTGGCTGTAGTGGATAAGTGATTCATCTGCTGCTAAAGTTGCTTGATCGACACTACATGGGCATCAACTTTTTGACCGATTCCAAAAAATTCGATTCGCATCTCCTTCACATTCTCATCATTCGAATCAAACCTTTTCAGCATCATCTGCATCATATCCTCAATCCGTGACATACTACCCCCAGCTTCCCTATTGCCAGATTCCTGATTTTGTAGAGGTACATAAGGCCCAACTCTATCGTTCCAGTTGTCATAGTTGTTCTGGTTGTAGTTTTTGTCACGATTATAGTTCCCATCCCAGACGTATTGACCCTCTCAATTGTAGTTACAATAGTTCCGACTTTGTTTTCCTTGACCTTGGTGCCAATTATCCGAATTGGAACACTAGGCGTTGGCTCGGAAACCCCCTGTCTGATCATTCACCAAGTAAGCATCCTCTTCATAGTAACATTCCTCCTCCGGTAGTGGTGGAGTCCTAGTCAACTAATTCACTGCATTTACCTGTTCGGGACCTCCGCTTACATGCTTCAATACCAACCCAAGTTCTGTCCTTATCTGTGCCATCTCCTCACGAATGTCATCGGCAGATTAACTAGGTGCAGCTTCAACTACAAATGTGCTTCTTCTAGTGTCAGACTTTCAAGTGCTCCATGCTTTATTGTTTCAGGAAATATGCACTAGATTCTCAGCGATTTCCTCAAAAGTGCACTCAGCATATGATCCTCCAGCGATAGAATCAAGCACAAGCTTACCGTTGTCATCTTGACCTCTGTAGAAATACTCCTTTAAGGACTCATAATCAATGTGGTGGTTCGGAACACTTCTAATGAATGCAATGAACACCTCCCCATGAACTATTCACAGACTTACCAGGTAGTTCCACTAAGTTTTTGAGTTTATCTTTGTCGTTCAGCTTCTTTGACACCGAAAAGTACTTGGCCATGAACAACTTGTTCAATTGGTCCCATGTATGGATGGAGTTGTACGGGAGCTCAGAAAACCAAATAGCAGCATCTCTGGTCAATGATAGAGGGAAGACTCTCAACCCTATGACGTTCATATCCAACTCTAGTTGCCCCACACAACGCTTACAAACACTCCTCAACTTGGCCATGTGCCCATGCGAATCTTCCGAAGCCATACCAGAAAACAAGCCCCTCGTTGTAAGCAATTGCATCAAACTGCTAGTCACCATGAATGTATGCCCCAGAGCTAGTAGGGGAGAACAATGGGTCCTTCAGATTCAACCGTATTAAACTCGACCCTGTAGTTATCTTACAACCTTAGTTCTGGCGGAACTTGCACCCTCAATGCATCTCCAAGTAGATTATCACCATGATCCTGAGCATTCTCATTGACAACCCCAGGAGGCTGCAACTCAACTCCATCACCTAGATTCCCACCAATTGGGTTGACTTGGACCCTTTGATTATTCATTCTTCCCAAAGGTCTGCTTAACTCTGGATCGTATGGGGTCAATGGTTCACCTCAACACCGTGTACTTGGCATACACTAGAGTAGAAACCTATAGAAAACAAAAACAAAAAAATAAAAGTAAAATTAGAAAATAATTGACTAAAGTTCAATAATGTAGTTAAACTTAATCTAAAAGCCTTATTCCCCGGCAGCGGCACCAAAATTTGATACGCTCAAATTACACCTCTCTAAAGAAGGATAAGCGATCGTTGTCAAATATAGAACCCAACTTGTAGGTTGGGGTCGATCCCACGAGGAATATGGTTTAGACTTAAACTTGACATACAATTATATTCATTTAGTCAACTTATTTTCGAGACAACTAAGTAAAGAGAGGGGGGTTGTGAAACAAATAACTTATTATTGTCAAGTAACAAGTGAGCAAGATTCGAACTTTGTTGTTATCAATGAGAGAAAGAAACTAGGGTGTATGTGTTCCCCATAAGCTCATAACGCGGTAATAACAAGTGAGCAAGATTCGAACTTTGTTGTTATCAATGAGATAGAGAAACTAGGGTGTATGTGTTCCCCATAACTCTTAATGTGATAATCCTAATAATAGTAACCCTTTCCTAGTGTATCACATGAAAAGTGGTAAGTTATGTATCCCTAAGTACTTGGTCAGCCAAATAGGAAATTTCACCCTGCAACTTGGTCCTGCTACGTGTGTATAATTTACTAACCCTTACCTTTACCTCAGATTAGACATCACATCAATGTATGGCTAAGTTTTAACCCTCGCACCAACTGACATTAGACTATTAGATAGTATCACACTAAATCTCCGTTAACAATTCTTTTCTTTTTAACAAGCTCCTTGGTTTGGCAAGTAGTATCAAGGCGAGTACAAACGTTGGCCAGTGTTAACAAGACTTCTAAACGAAAGAATTATCAGTGAATGCATCAACATTAGTCAAGAATTAGTTAGTTATTATTCATACATTGTTAATTGCTTATGGTTCCCACAACCCTAGTTGTGGATTTAGTTACTCATGTTTGTAAGAACACAATTCATAATTGTAAAAGAAGAATTCATGAACTTACGTATTAAGTAGAAGAAACCCGTAATCTCCAATAGAAATTCAAAAGCAAAAATCTTATAAACCTGAATTAGGAAATCAAATTGCCAAACATTTCAAGTTAATTCCCAAGAAAATATCAAGAACTAAAAGTATAATATAATGTCTAACCCCCAAAAATGAGGTTTACATAGAAAAACTTGTCCTAAACAAAAAGGAAACGAGATAAGGAAATAAACTTTTATGGACGCAGCTTCGATCTACGAGACTGACCTACGTATGGTGGACTAACCTACGGTTCATAGGTCCCTTTCGTGGCTCAATACTTAGACAATTTTTCAGAAGCTGGAACATTCCATCTTCCAGACACAAACGATGGACCTGCAGGAAGGACCATAGGTCGACCTACGGTCTGTGGGTCTCTTCTCATGGCTCCACACTTAGAACTTTTCCTCAGGTACTGGAACTCAAAATCTCTGAATCAATCGACGGTTGTGCAGGATGGCCCGTGGGTCGACCTACAGTCCGTCACTCTCTTTTGTAGTTCCACACTTGGTCAGATTTCCCTGAGGACCAATCCACGCCAGCCCAACGATGGACCGTGACTGGACATATGGTCTGTAGGTTACTTCCGTGGGTGGACACTTCTGCAGAATTTCAGTTGTCTCTCTCTCGACCTCGTCCAAGTCTATTTCTTGCAAATATAGCACAATAAACATTAGTTTTAATACAAAATGGCCCTAGACACACACAACTCATAAGTGTAATGTATTAACTATACCGTAAACTCACGGTATATCATTTTGATGATGATACACTCATCTGAGCACGTTTCCCAAGCATGTCGATCAAAGTCAACCCTTAGTCAAAGCTTCCAAAGTTAAAATGCCTAACAATACAAACTCTCACCAGAAGTCTCGGGAACCTAACCAATCATTCCCCAGCCTAAAATGACCCATCTAGAGCTGATGGAATCATCAAAATTGCATTCTTAGGCCTTCTTCCTAAACGTTTGATAGATGTCAACCGTTTAAGTTTCGAAGGCTACAAAATACGAAAATTTTCACAAAGCTCAAATAAATGGCCCGACGACCGAACTGTTAGTCCCAAGAAGTGATAAATGACTTGAGGTCACTATAGAAAATTTCTAAATGCTAAAAGGATTGGAAAACGGAGGAAATGACTTGGAGGGTCATTACATATATTTATTTAGAAAAGGGATTTTTGACCCATTTAGTAATAATAGGGGCATTTTTAAATGAACTATTAATGGTAAGGGAATTTATCTACTAAAGTATAAGCAAAAGATATTTTTGTTCATTTCACATAGTTCAACGATGTTTTGACCCCTTTAGTATATTGTAACGTTCAAGAGCACTAACTTATAATATTCAAAAATTTATTTCAATCTGAAATGCATATTCTACTTAAATTTGAAATATTGCATTGAGTTATGTTATATAATTACTTTACTTGCATTTAATGTATTTCTAATCATCACTAGATTGATACATTCTTTTTTTGTTCATACTATAGTTCTTACTATCTAAGAAGAAGATTTAACAAAAAATACTCAATCTATTAAATTGATGTTTTTTGTCAGTATTCTTTTTCCACTTTGCCACTACCATAATATAATTAGTAAGAAATTAAATGAGGGTGATACATTTTTGAGCATTTTTCTCATTTGATGATCTTATAGTCCTACGAATACTGGCATATTTGCTCTTCATTTTTACTATATCTCAAGACTCAAAAGTAATTTCTTGAAGTGTTTAACCTTACTTGACTTAACATTTGTATGCAAGTTATTACTCTTTCATTTGTTGTATGAAAAGGCAATATTTTATTTCATTTTAATTATTTGTCAAAGTTAATTATGATTCAAACATCACTTACATTCTTTTGTTTATATCTCTCGATATATTTTTTTTACAAGTTCTGTTGTTAGTCCTTAGGAGTCGAAGGAATCGTGTCTATTTTTTTTTCTCATTTTCTAGATTATATATGTAATGACCTCTTGGTCATTTATGTGTTTATGCCTCCCGTTCATCGTTTACAGTGTTCCTATAAAAACCCCAAGTCATTTATGACTTTCTGGGACATAAAGTTCGATCTCATGGTCGTTGATTTGGTTTTTATGCTAGTTTGCATGTTTTTGAGCTTTTGAACCTTGAACGGTAATTTTTTATCGAAAGTTTAAGAAGATGACCTCAGAATAAATTTCTAGCGATTCCATCAACTCTGGAATAGTAATTTTAGGCTAGTAGCATTGTCAGCACAACTCCCCAGGCTTTCAGTGTAAATCTGTGTGATTAGGCGTTTTAACTTTCCAGTTAAGACCTGAGTTTGACTTTAGTTAATATTCTGATTAAATGAGCTCAAATAAGAATTATGT